GAGGTGGTGTGAAGGTTGGCTTCTTATTACCAAGATGGGCCTTGCTCAAAGGTCTTAGTTTTGTTTTGAGGCAGTCTTGTGTAGCCCAGGCTGGCTTCAGACTCTTTGTAGTCAAGGATGACTCTGAACTTCTGATCTTCCTGCTCCCACCTTCTGAGGGCTGTGATTACAGGTGTGTACCACCACACCCTATTTATTGCTGAGGATCAAACTTGGGCTTCATGTGCTTCAAGTGCCTTAGGTAGGCACTTACCCAACCACCCCATCTGAAGCTTCTCGGGGATGTTAAAGCTATGTCTTTTCTTATTCAGGTCGATCCTGGAAAAGGAGGGACCAAAGTCACTTTTTAGAGGCTTGGGTCCAAATTTGGTGGGAGTTGCACCATCAAGGTAAGTACTTAACTGTTGAGCAAGCTCCCCGAGATCAGCATGCAGTGCTGAATCTCTTCTTGCCCAAGGGTGACACTGTTGAATGGCTGCTTTCCCCTCTATTAAAATTGCCTAACCATAGTTGGGCGGTGGTGGTGCATGACTTTATTCCCAGCACTCGGGAGGCAGAGGCAGGTGGATCTATAAATCCACCATGAGCACTCAGATCTCTCTACGTGCGAGTTTCTTACCCTGAGCATGGTGTGGTCAGTACCTAGATGTAGAAATGCCCCAGTGTTATGGTGCATACAGATCCATGTTAGTATCTGCCTTCTCAGCTGATGTCCAGGTGACTCAGGACATTAGTCTGAAGGAATTAAAAGTCTCTTGGGCTTTACTTTCTAGAACATTACATCTTTGGTTTTTAATTCTCTTTAAAGACTTTGTAGACTGTACTAGCCCAGCACATTAAGCTGCTGGCTCCATTCACCTTTTTAATTAGTTAAAATACTGGCCACTTTTCAAGAGCTCATTATCCATGCATAGCTAGTGTCTCCGAATTACAGGAAGTTATTGGGCAGTGCTAACAGAGAAGGGAACTGTGTGTGTAAAATAGACAAGTTGCAGTGTGTGTCACAGGCCAAAGTCCTAACAATACAGTAAAAAGGTTTTAATTGCCTTTTCTATTCTGGAATCTAGCAGTGCTTTATTCTGTAAAAATAAGATTGGTGGGTTTGTTTGTTTAGACAGAACAGGCTGTAAAAAGCATAGACAGGGACCAAAAAGTATACATCAAAAGGTCATACATCTCAGAGTTACAGGGGAAGAACAGAGAGAACAATAGAAAAACAAATCACTGGTTCACATCAGGCTCCTCTGTTAGAAGGACTAAAGCAGAGGGAGCCTGCTTGTGGTGACTGGAACTGTCCCTTTGTGGGCCCAGTTGCTTTTCTCTAACCCTGATTTACAGGAAGGCCAGATTACTTGCCTTGGTAGCCAGAACTGGGAACTTCAACACAAATGATTACTCCCAGCTCCATTTTCTGTCCTGTCTGTTGGCATCTGGAGCCAGAGCTTAGTCTAAACCAGTGGCCTCCTGGATCCTGTTCACACTAGTTAGGATCCTAAGGTGCAAACAGGTTCTGTGATTGATCCATTGGTCATCAGAGGCTGAAAGAAGCATCTCTCCTGCACTGCAGGGATGGAGCCCTGCTCCTGCTGTGGCCCCTGAGGAACTGCAGGCAGGCCAGAGTGCAGTCCGCACACACGTGTGCTCACCACAAGGCAAGACAAGTGGAGCAAGTTTGTATCTTAGAAACACTCTACCTCTCAAAATGACAAGATACATTTCTACTCAAATGATTAACGTTTATCCAGAATAAAGAATGTGGATGGACCTTTATAATTTTATATGTGTTACCAAAATCTCATTTTAACTCCATTATCTTGGACACTTTTGTCACTACTAATTTCTGGAGGGGTGTGACCATCTCAGGGATGGTGGCAGGCCTGGGTGTGAGTCCAGCCTCTGGCTCCTTGCCAGCTAGGAAGATCCTTACTCTGTTCTGTAGTCTGCTACATGCTGTAGGTGTTGCAGAGGGACGTATATACCTTAACGTGCCACAATGATTTCTTCATGGCATTCTCTGTTTGTCCTAACAGGGCTGTGTACTTTGCATGTTACTCCAAAGCCAAAGAGCAATTTAATGGCATTTTCGTGCCGAATAGCAATACTGTGCACATTTTCTCAGCTGGCTCTGCAGGTATGTTACCCTAGCGAGTGAAATGAAGACTCACATCCTAAGCATGTGTTGTTTTGCTTTCTCTTTTTCTTTGCAGGAATTAGAAGTTAACTCCCTGCTTCTTTTGCACCTAAAATCATTTTCCAAAAGCTTTATCTTGGCGTTTGTAGAATATGACTGTTAGCAGTTTGTAAATAGATTTCTCTGACCGCTCAAGCTTCTTGCTCCCCTCCAGACTCACACCTTTCCCTGCCTGGGTCAGCTGTGCTTCCTTTAAAGGCATGTGGATATGTTTCCACGGCTTCCCGCTTTCCCTCCTGGGCTCTAATGTGGAGTGGAGCTGCCTTCTGTCTGACTCCCCGGGTACCTGCGGTGCATCTGCCCTGTGCAGCAAGGACAGGGTTGTCCTGTTTGCTTTGTATGCTGGGGGCGCCTGAGGTTGAACTGAAGTTCGGCCTTGTGCTTCCAGACAGTCTGCTGTCTTTTGAGGAAGTCCCTCCACTGACGGCAGAGCTCAGGGCAGGACGTTCCCCCAGGGCGTGCTTGTGAGGAGCATGGGCTCCTGAATTGCTAGGGGCTCTGTCCACTTAAATCTAAAGGTATTTTTAGAGAATTTATATTAGCATTTTAGAATTCCTGCCCTCTGCCAACAGAAAGAAATTGCCACGCCAATTTTATCTACCTTTGTTACTCTCAATAAAATTACTAACCCAGATTATGATTTTTAGTCAGAGCAAAAAGTAATTAAGTACTTCACGAAAGAACAGAGATTCCCCTTAATACTGAGCCCTGAGAAGGAGTGGACCATTCCAAAACAGGTTGATCCGTGGTGAATTAGCCCTAATCCTGACCCTGTTAATCAGCTTTGTAACGATTGCAGCATTAATCCAGAACACTGGGTAAAGCAAGCACACCTCAAGGGAGCCTTTCAAGGCAGTGTCCTCCAGTGTCTAATTAAGCTGCTTACTCGGGACTGTGGACACGCTGTGCAGGAGGAGTGCTGGGCATTGGCATTGGCATCTGGAGGGTTAAAATGCTGCAGAAGGCTTACCAAAATAATGATTCCTGGGGGTCGATCGGTTTTAAAGTTTTTGTTTCCTTAAATTTCCAAGTTTGAATTCAGGTAACTAAAGACTTAACACTCGTATTCAATGTTAGGTATAAGTAGAGATCAGCAAGTGTAAAAAAAAAAAAAAAAATCTGAATCTGAAGCTTTTCAATTGAAATTTTAGATGTTTTTGCCCTGGCATTCAAATGAAGCAAATGCTAGCAGCACCACCTAGAGGCTGGAAAGGCTATGCATGGCAGTAGCTACAGCTGTAGCACTGTGGGAATGCCGGATGGGTGG